AAAAAGTCATACAACTCTTTTTGTACACACAGTGAAAGAATGAAAGCCACTGGACATCTGACCCAAAGGCTGCAGTTCAGCTCCCAGGCTGGGTGCTGCTGGTATAGGCTTGAGCAAGGAGCTTAACCTGCAGTGTCTCAGCAAAACATACACCTGCACAAATGGATGAAATGCAGCAGTGTGAGCTACGCAGGTCGCCGCGCAAAAGGGGCGTCTGCTAAGCAAATAGACGAACATCGTAACATCCAGAAAAAAACACTTTCACTCACTTCTCCTCCACCAGCTGCCTCTGGTACTCCTCAAACTCCTCTCGCGACATGCCCTTGGACTGGGGAGTCTCCTTGCCGTCCGAGTCGGTCTTCGCCTCGTCATCCCCTCCTCCACCTCCGGTCATGTTCTTCAGCTTGTCCCCCAGCATCTGCTTCATGAGGAATGCCATGGCTGCCCAAACCGGGGGGCTTCAGTGCACTTCAGTGAGGGGCGGGTACGGGGGGAACAGGGCACTCAAGAGGGCACCAACGAGCACAGGAGATGGGAGAGGGAGAAAGGAGGAGGGGGCAGGACAGGAGGGGTTGGGGTGCAGCCAAAAACAAGAGGGAGCAACGAGTAAAGACAAGGAAGCGTGTGGAAAGAGTGGTGGGCGACAGCACTTTGGAGTCACTTTCCCAGAGCCTCGCTCACACCCCAGGATCCTTCGACTATGCTTCAAGGTGAATGGATCTGGGTGTCGGTGTATTTCGCAGAGAGTAAAACGGCTCAAGAGCTTAACTCATTAGAAACAACCTAGATGCAGCTGGGCTGCCTGCCTTTCACCTTGGTCCAAGGTCCTAGCAGGACCCTGCGGGAGAGCTGCTGCTCTGAGGAGCTTGGGGGGGGGTTCCCTGTACCACGTTTGGGAAGAACGCTTCCATTTACAGCTATTGGGGTTGGTGGGACAGTGTCTCAATGGGTCAAAATAGAATGGGCTTCACCACATAAGCCTCAGGGACCATTTCCACACACAGCTGTAAGAGGAGTTGTGGAGTAGAGGCAAGAAAACTTTGGAAAATTCAACATAGTCCCCAAAGATTTTAGATCACATGCTCACCATAAAACATGTTAATGTTTTAGTCTGAAGAACACCCTGAACAAGCCATTTTCAGAGAGTTTCAGAGCCAGTTCTGATAAAGGCATGAAAAAAATATCTGCAGAAGCTGCCATTTCAGCTTCTGGCAGTCATACTGCCAGCGTGAAACGAGAGAAGGCATATTGCTCTATTTGGTCAGTAGCGCTTCAGGATTCCACACAGAAAAATGGAGGGCAGTGACCAAGGAGGACATGCAACAACAAGCCATCTGGCAGGTCTGAAGCTCCGCCCTCCAGTTATGATTGACAGGTTGATAAGCAGATCCTTTGGTCTGAGTCACATGTAGTCTGACAGATCCTCACTGAAGCCCTAATCTCAAGACTCTTCTGGAACTGCTCTAGCTTATATGAATATATGTGGACTTTGTTGTTGGAGCCTCAAAACCTAAAAATAAAGCTTCTTTGTACTATATTTTTTAAAAAATAATTTCAAATATTATGTTACAATTATTTCCAGAAATTACAGGAAGCAGTGAAATCAAAACAGTGCAAATGCACTTGCCTTTTATGGCTAACTAAATTTGTTTACATCAAAATGAGTGAAGACATTTTCCCTTTTTCACTCTATAGTTACATCATTCAGCTAAAACATTATTACATAGGACATCAGATTATGCAATCCTCTGTAAGGAAACAACCTAGGCACACATTCCTCTGTTATGTAAACAACCTAGAAGATTGCAATTAAACAGATAAACCAGTATATTAACAAAATTCAGTATTCAAAACTTGTTTGTCAATGTCATAATAACAATACATAATTTGTAATGAAATATAGCAAATTGTGTTCATTAAGTTCCAAGCCTTGGTTCAAGGGTGCCAGTAGAAAAGCATAATGCTGTAACACCAGTAAATCTCAAATGCAATCTCTGGGAGACAGACTCTCAGACTGCTGGAGTACCAACAATTTTGTGCTGTGTATTGATGCCAATGATGTGAAGAGGAAATGGAATGGCAATGCAAGCTCTGAGAGAGGGAATTTCCAATATGGAGACCCTGATCCATAAAAGGGTATCATCCTATTAGGTATCACTACAGTTTGCACTTCCTGTTTACACTATAAATTCTAAAAATTCTGAAATACAGGGAGAGCGTCATGAACAAGGAAGGGGGCAGAAAATGAATACAAACTGGCAAGGTGCCTATGACTGAGGCACTTTGTAGCCTACATCATCATCTCAGAGACACTCAATAATAATTATGGGAAGTCAAACTGTTGTTTGGAATTATGTGTCAAGTGTTATGAAGTATGATGATGATGGTGAATTATACTCCAAAAACAGCCCTTGCGTCACATTTCTTCACACCCCTGTAAATATTATTTTGTAAATCCTCCTTTGTAGAATGTAGTCTTATCAGTGTAGATTACGCTGATAAGACTATCTGTAGTGTTTCGTGAGGTTTTGGTTCTCTGCTGTGATCATATTTTCTTGAGCTTCATGCCACCTCTTTTGTGGTTTGCCTTCAGAAGCGGCTTCTTCCATATAACCAGCCATGAATGCCACAGAAATGCTGGCAATGGTGAATGGTATTTATTAAGACTTTGCATCCCAAATTCTCAGCCATTGCCTTTGAAGTGATGATTATGTAAAATTTGTTGTTGTGGGTAAGATGTGTTGTAGGTGAGAGATAAACCTTCTGGAAGACCATGGATTCGTTTCAGCCATTTACTCACCCGAGGCACACAGAAAGTACAGGATCAGCATTACAGACCCCTCTCTCCAACTGCTCTCTAAGCAGCATTCAGCTATCACCAAACATCAACATCAAGGCCTAACTAATCCCTTCAGGATAACAGCTCTCAAAGTCTTTAACAAGAGAAACACATTATAAAGTTTTACTTCTTATAATTTCATCCGGAACTACGTGCTTCACAGCCTGTAAGTTACACTTGTTCTCCTCCTTGCAGGGTTGCCACCGGACCAGTAGCCTTACATTTCTCAATAATAAACACTATGATGGAAAGCAGTTGATTCAGCTTTTTGTGAATTCTGTTACAGCCATCCTCCAGCTTCTGGAGGTAGATAAGAACTGGTATGAATATATGAGTACATATTCATATGATGCATCCTGCTACTGAATTTCTTCTGTGTGTTGGCTCCGTTTATACCCCCAGGGCGACAGGAAGTCTTGGCAGGCTTCCCCCGAAGTTTCAAAAATCAGCATGTTGATTTATTTTTTAATTTGTTTTTGTTGAAGTCTAATGTACTGCATTATATAGGTTTAAATATGAACATTTCAATCTTTTCTTTGACCTCATCCCTACCGAAATTAATAGTATTGGTAGGAGGAGCCTGAGGTAATATATGCATAAGACATGCACAGCTGTACCAAAGAGCTGACACTGCACTGCATTTTGCTCATTAATTGTGTGGGATGTTTATGGTAAAGAGTACTGCACTAGAGCAGTTCCCCACTCAATCTTAGTTCTGTAAAGTCTGTACTCTAAAGCAATGTTGGACCAAGAATGCAGGATATTTTCCTTAGAGATACGGAGTTAACTGGATGGGAAGAAATGTTAAAAAAAGAACAGATTAAAAAGTGTGAAAAGAGCAGCCTCGGGCCTAATTGTATAAGCCCAGGTTAAATACGTCAGATTGGAGGCCTCGATTCATTAGGATCTAGTAACGAGTGTAATGCCACTTTGAGTCTGGCCCGCTGCTGATCAGCTCAGCTGGCAGGATGACAAGTCTGCCAAGCTTTCTCTTAGAGGGCCTGGGCAGTGTGCTCGAAGCACAGCCAGATACAGGGCTGCTTGTTTGGGCTAAGACATGTTGACTTGTCCTCACAGGTTGTGTAACTCTAGCTCTGAATTTACTTTTCGGTGGTGTCAGTGATGTTTCCCTCCAGTCTGAGGACTAATGCAAAGAGACGATCAAACAGTAACACCAACAACAAAAATAAAACTACAACTGAGAGTCCTGTGATCTGTCTTGAGTGAATGTATATTATTAACTTTCCTTGGGGTGCAGAAGACAGGTATGCTACCATTAAATGTAAATTAACTGAGGTTTGCACTTTCAAAATCATGGTTTATTTATTAACGCTACCATTGGATAGTGCTGGGCTCAAGCTGCAGCCATCTCTCTCCACACCCACATTGAAGAACTTGGTAGGTTTTATCCCCATAACTTGCACATGTATTTTCCATGTACACTGCTTTAATTTCCCACAGATTTTACTTATATGCCACTTTATACAGTAGGTAATCATACCTGATTGTATCAAAAGCTTTCTGGAAATCTATAAAGCAAGTAAATATTTTCATCATGTTATGATTAATGTATTTGTGAGCATGTAGACATGGTCAGCTCTGGTATGATTTTGTGAAAAGCTGACCTGAAGATGTTGTTTTCATAAAGAAACAGCAGAAGTCTTTATTATTACTGAAACAAATTCCTTAGTAGTAGTAGTTTGGGGCAAAATTTGTTTCCACTCGTAAAAGTTGAGAAAAGGGAAATAGGGTTCTCTCTCATACGCACCTTCTTCCTCTATCTCTTGCTCTCCTTTCTTCCTTTCTCACTCACTCTCTCTCCTCCTCTCCCTTTCTTCCCCATATAACTGCACAGCATTTTCTCATTGGCACCAGTCTGTGCCAGTTAGACAGAACGCGCTGCATATTATTTAACTTGTTGGCCACAGCTCTCCTTTTTGACAGTGCCAAAATCATGGGCAGTAAACAAGGCCTTGTGTCATCTTACTTGATCAAACAATATTTCAGATAAATTACATTGCATTACATTGTCATTTAGCAGCCACTCTCATCCAGAGTGACTTACATAGGTTACAGTTTTACACATTATCCACTCATACAGCTGGATATTTACTGTGGCAATTGTGGGTTAAGTACCTTGCCCAAGGGTACAGCAGCAGTGCCGCAGTGGGGAATTGAACTGGCAACCATTCGGTTAGGAGCCCTACTCATTACCACTATGCCACACTGCCTCCATTTTCAAATGAAAACGTAGATAAATTAGGTACATGGCAAAATGGGCAACTGTTTGATTCCCTCACTGTGAAAATTTTGATTTTTCCCAGTGCTTCAGTTGTCTTGTGCTGTGAACTCCATCATGGGAACAATATTGAGGTAGGAACCTTTGTCTTCAGGGTCTTGGGATTCCTTGCCTGAGTCACACCTACACAGATCCCTCAGAACTGCTCTGGAATCTTCAGCTGGAGTGCCTCCCTCAGATGGACACCATAGAGAATAATGAGCTGCCAGGGTGGTATGTCTAACAACACTGCTCCACCTTTTCATTCACCTGTTATGGGAACAGGGAATGCACTGTGCTCAAAGAATTTTAGCTGTTTTCATCTTTCATTAGCCATCTCTAGTTAACAGCTTGCTGAAATAAGAATATGGCAGGTGATTTCATTTCTCATATGTAAGTTCTTATTTGAATGAATGGACCAGGTGCACCCTGGGGCAAACATTTTAACCTGGTGTTAATGAGGAAAGTATAATCAAAGGCTGAAAAGCAATACATTCACATTCTTATGTAATAGGACACACTCAGAGTTGGTGGTAGAGAAGAATGAGAGAGAGATTGTGAGACAGTCAATAGGAGATTTAAGTACAATAATCCTACCGGTTGCACCCACCTCCACCACCCCCACACAGGCGCTTTGCCATCGTAGAGCTCCGTCCCCACAGAAACAAGGTCTACAAGGTTTAATCCCAGTTTATCCTCATCTTTATTACCTGCTAAGTGCAGCTGCTTTAAGTGTTCTGGCCTGCATACCTGTGTACAGAGTTCAGGAGTTTAACTCAATATGACTGCAGCCAGTGGCCATTCCAACTGAGTGGCTGCATGACTGCTTTAGGAATGAAAGTCCTGGATTGCAGGAACAGATCTTATCTTACCATTTTCAATGCTATTTGTATTTGCAAAACATAGTCAGCAGTAGATATTTTGCAAAAAAAAAAAAAAAAAAAAACGAAAGGAAAACATAAATAAGCCTTGTTCCTGACACTTCATCAAAAACCAATGTTTTTTTCCTTATACTTGAAGTGTTTTTATAAGTCCTTTTAGAGGATTGACAGATAAGGATGCCTGTTCATGATTGCCCTCTTCTGGTGAGAACTCACTGATGCATGTGGTCCCAGGACAAGCACTCCCCAAAACTTCACTGATTGCTGTAAAGGAAACACAACCACCATGAACACACTGAACAAGATGGAATTTTCCTAAACTACATATGATGGAACAGGAGTGCTATCATGATCTTAGCTGAGACACAGACACTATACTGCATTTTTGACTGTGCCATCTCTGGTGTAGCGGTGCATGAACAGAACCAGTTAATTCTGGTTTAATTCTCAGGGAGACAGGCAGTCTGAATAAAAAGGCCATTTTGTCATTAACCTGCATCTTGCCCCCCCCCCAGTTTTGGCAGGCATGCTTGACAGTGTAAAGGCCTCAGGAACATGGCACACATCAACCTCAGGGCACCTGAGATGATCATCCCATCAACAGGCAGACAAAGAGCAAGACAGTATGGTCTCTGTGTGCCAGAGACCTCATCTTGACCAGAGTCTGATCCTGGTTGTCCCCAAATGCCCTGTTCCCAAAATGTAAGCTGGGGTGTCTGAACAGAACTGGGACCCAGAGCTGAGCTGACCCAAGGCTCGCCTATGGGCCTATTCAGGTAATCCAGTCAAAATTAGAGCTGGCTGCCGGCAGCACACAGGCGACGTGACACTGCAAAGCAGTATAGGTGACTGCAGTGATAGCCCTCGTTCCAAAAGGCAGCCAAATCAAAGTCTGCACTCTTGTCCAGATGATAAATAATCCAACAGATCCCTGGTTGCAGTGCGGCCATTGAGGCTGAAAGGAAAGAGGGCATATAAGGCAAGAACAATGTAAGATCAAGTAACAGTAATGAGTGACATGGTCCTTGTAGACAAAATCATTTAGGCCTGATATTACAACTTTCTGCTGATAAACATGATTCTGTCCTGATAACAAAAACACCCTCATTGCAGGAGAGACTTTCAAAGATGAAAACAGCAAGTGCGGTTGGTTGGTTGCTAACCCAGTGACAAGGTGTAGTCTGTGACATCACACCTTATGCTGCATCCCAGCAGCTTTGCCATGCTGATGTTTCCTACGGTATGAAAGTTACATGGGGCACCATGAAAGAAGAAGACAAGACAAAGTAAGAGTATATGTTGAGCACATGTGCAATATTTCCTGTCACAGAAAACATTGTCTCAAATACAATCATGTCACTACTGTAATGTCCTCCAGAACTGCATTAGCTGTGAAATCACACTGAATGATCTGCTCTGCCCCCTTCTGGCCTAGTTAGGCAATTGAATAATGGGCGAAGCTCTACAGAGAGATGCAGCGTAAGGTGTGAAGTCACCTTCCCAGCTTCCCTACACCTGTCCTTTTACATTTACATTTACATTAATTCATTTTGCAGACGCTTTTATCCGAAGCAACTTAACAGCAAGGCAGAGTACAACACAAGCAAAAGCCATACATGGAGTCACAATATTTGAAGTGCTGCATGACCAAGTTTCAGTCAAGGTAGAAGCTTTTCCTGTCTGTGAATTTTACACTAATATAAGGGCAAGCACAGGAAAACTGGCAACATCTTTTCAAAATCTGATGGGAAAAATACACAATATTGCCACCTAGTGTCAGTTTTATGTAAACGTTTTTACACGCCACGCGAATTGGTGTGGTAAAGATGTGTCCCATAGCCCGGCCAGTCACGTGCAGCCAGGGTAAAAGTTTACTCTGTTGCCATGTAGAGGCAAACGTGAAAAGAGCAACGCTTCTATTTTAATTACTACTGTTTGGCCCCCCAAGGCACCGATCTAGCAGGTTTCCCAGCTGTCCTACAACCGTCAACATTGTCAGAACTGCAGGGGGAAGCCAAACCTGTTCCATGCCGACTGTGATAAACTGAGTCAGAGTCAGCCGCCTGGCTGGTACTTTCGTTTTCTAGAAGACAGGGATGAATGACCATTACAAGAATTACCAGAGAAACAAGAGCAGCAGCTTCACGAGTTCGCATGGTTTCTATACTGCTGTACACGGAGATTCGTGTTTCCTGGACTGAAAATGAACTGAAAATTCATCTCTGAATAAATTTTCTTATTATCATAATTTACCATGTGTCTTATTGTACCATGTGTCTTATTTAAAGAGTTGAATATTATTGTAATATTCAACTCTTTAAAAGACTGACAACAATTTTAAACCTTATCTTAGGTAAGGTGTTTGGTTGCAAATACCTAGGCTAGCATGCACTAAATAGATTACCTTTACAGGAACGATTTATAAATATATAATATGTCCAATTGTCACTCTCCTGGGTTTGTACTGACAATCACCGCTGTACTTGATTATTCATTTTGCTTGTCTTGCATTCTTGTCAGTCAGGAAGCCCAGGAATCTATGCAATACTGACACTTCCTCATTCCAGTACACATCATTGCCATCCAGATTTTCTATGTCTTTTTTTCATCATAGAATATACATGGCAAATTGTCATTGCGACCCAATGTTCAGATTTTAATGCATGAGTCAAGCCTTAAAATTCACTTATTATACAGTGAAAGAATACCTACAGTATGCTTTACAGTTCAGTTTCACCTAATAAACTACTGTGAACTAACTCATTTATAATGGTGCTCTGAAGAAATGCTTTCATGGCTCAAGGTTGTTTGTTTCTTGTTTAAGGTAATTTAATGTCCATACTATAGAATCATGCCGGCTTACAGTGGCAGGTTCACTCAGTTTTTTGTTTGGTGACAAACAAAATGCTACAGGAGAGACATGCTGCACAATTTATTATTTTGAACAGTAAATGAGAGTTATTAGTGAGATCATGCCCCAAAATTTAAATTGCATGATTCTTTATACAACTGGCTATCTTTGATAATGGCTGCTATTGTTATTATTATGAGGAAAATGTGCATACCAATACACCTACAGAAAAAATCCTCCTAAAGACAAACCCTTGCCCTGTGAGAAATTTCTTACCTCTAATACCAAACTCACAATGTCTTTACACATCCACTTGGCTTCTCAGCCAATGACAGCTTGTCGTGCTTGCTGCCGAAAAAGAGGTTGACTCTACCAAGACCAGCATTCCAGACTCAGACCACCTCCCTGATAACCTGCAATATAAGTCAGACCAAGATGGAATGATGCAGTTTTTATTTACTAATGTAAAAGACCCTTAATGCTGGTCAGTGGATATCCCAAAGGCCCACCTCATCTCAGTGGGTGGCAAATGAGCAGTCCTGTTTTAATTAACCCTCTGTGTGAGGACTAATTAAAACAGGAGTCCCTTATGGTCCTAAGTATTGATTTTATCATGGAAATGAACATTCAGTGTGATGAGCACTGATGTTGTCTCGGGCAACCAAGAATGGATAAAAGAATCTAATTTTTGGCTATAACTGAACCAACTGTTTATCTTTCTTGCAAAGGGTGTCACTGTCAAAAAATAATATGGTGAAGAAAAAGACAAATTTTGCAATTTTGCAATTTATCTCCATCCAGCATTCTCTTTCATCTGCCTCTTATTAAGTATCTCACTCATTCAGAAAATTGTGGGTCTCCTGATGCCACTGCTGTATTAATCAAAAGCCTTTGGACTAAACCTTGGAATTGTTCAAACAGACAGTGTTTATATTTGACTTTCCTTGAAACCATGTGATCCGATTCCTCCTTTGGCAGGGCTTCTCATTGCAAAATGAATCATGTGATCACAAATTCTGAAAAAGAAAGCCACCATAAGGCAGGGACCAACAAACACAGACAGGCATGGGCAATACAGGAGGACCTGTCCTTTTGTTTTGACATTAACCACAAGATCTTTACTGCAGAGAGCCAGACATGGCTGTCTATCACTCTCCTGCTCTGTGTTCTTACAGAACCCTGACAAACAAAGTGGGTTTGTGAGCTCAGTGGAATATACAG